ATTCAACATTAACCATGGCTTTTATTAACATGTATGTTCAAGTGGAAAATGAATAAAATAATAAGAATGTATCAAATTGAAGCCAAAAAAATATTCTCAAATTTTAATAACTTAAGCTGTGAGTTACGAAATTAGAAATGTTGTCAGCGTCAATTTCTTAGACATGGATAATGTCGCTCGAATTAACTCTACTGGAGTCACAAACGAATACTCATTGTTTCTTTTTTTTTTTTTTTTTTTGCAATTTTTTTTACTAATAATATTGGTATTATATGCTAAGGTAAGGTATCGAGTTGATTGTGTTTGACTTTGGTATTTCAGTTATGAAAAAAAGTGTAGGCTTAGTATATAATAGTTGCAAGTGGCAAAATTACTAATAAACAATATAAATTTATGTTAACAAAAATGACCTTCTGACATTAGATTTATTCAAAATGATATATTCCGTTCGTTGATTGAAATCTTGAAATTATCTAAGTATATAATAAAGAGTACATCTCTTTGATTATATACATATCTAGAATCTAGGCAAATCACAGTGGCACCGCTTCAGATTAAAAAAAAAGTCTTCTGTAAAAAAGCCTTCAGTAATTATCGTAAAGAATGTCAAAAAGCACCGTTTGGTTTTAAAGTTTAATAAGGGGTCACAAACTAAAACATATTACACAGAGAAGTCATTAAAAAACACATAAAAAACATACGAATGCGTAACCGATTACAACTAAACACAGAATTTACTAATACTAAATTCATAAATTATATTGCTTCAAGACTTAAAATTTAATAAAAGTAAAACCTAACTTATCAAGTTAAAGAAATATAATAGGAGCTTAAGTAAAACCGACATACCCAACTGTTGTACTCGTATATGACAAGAAGCAATATGACGTCGGAGAGAAGTTTTAAAGCTGGGCAGACTACAGTTGAATATGTCTTGGTGAGAACAGGCTCCATTATAAAATTTACACATCCTGAGCATACATATTTCTAGTAACGTAATTTGAGGATAGAGAACGGGTAGGCACTTAAAAACATAATTTTCGAAGAAGTTGGGCACCAAGTTTTCAATCAACCTACGGTTTTCAAGGCTTTCTAATCTAAATTTGTTCAATCGGTCGCTGTCCTTACTTCCTTACTAATATTATAAACGCGAAAGTTTGTATGTATGGATGGATGTTTGTTACTCTTTCACGCAAATACTACTGTTATACTTCTTGTGGCAAGTTAGGGAAAAATTATGAGAGTAATTTTTTACGAAAAACCGACACCCTGAAGTTAGCTAGACATCTACGTATGTTTGCGTGAGAACTGACAACTGTATTCACGATATTTATTTTGTGATATTTATATAAACTTTATTTAACTAGATAATGCGTTATAATAAAACTTTCAACATATTAAATACCTTTTTTCTATTGTTAGTGTCTTTTTTTCTACAAACGTAGAATAAGGCGAAGGATATAATTTGAAAAGATAGCTTATCTTGTTACGCCAAAGAAGTATAACTTCTAACCCGTGTACATAAGTCTTTCTGTCTGAATGTTAGCCTTCAGCCTATTCTACGCAAACGTAGTCGCGGGCAACAGCTAGTATGCTGTAATTTTCTTGATAGTACGGATCTTACGCACAGTGAACGCTTAAATCTGCGCTGAACAGACAGAAATATATGTGCATTTATAAATAAAATGTATAAATTTAACACTTGTTATTTTATTGCATGATGAGTTTTATTTTATTATTATCTATGTAGCCCATAACTGTAAAGTTACAAACATCGCTAGTAGAGTAAATTAATATATCATATTACTAAAACATAACCGACAATGTATACAAAAATTTCCACATTTCAATAGCAAAATGTTACAGCTCGGTATTCCTATACAAGTACACAAACAGCCGACGCGAGTGTAAAACAATGTCTTTACATACGCAAGAATACCGAAGAGGTGCCATTAAAATTATTAAACATGTTATGAGGCGAGAGACGGTATCTATACCCGAATATAATTTGTATCTGTATACATATGTGCCTATCTGTATATATATTTATGTGCTATATAATCGTTACATTATGTGAGAAGATGACAAGCGAGCTGATGGTACACCTGATGTTGTAACCGCCGCCTATGAAGTCGTGGTACTTTCCCAGATAGACCCTACCATTCGTGCAATGGCGAAGACTGTTGCGTGGCCCTACCACAGTTACTTACTGTGTTTAGTTAGCATTAGAGCGTCTGAGAACTCGGACATACCAAACAAAATATTAAACATTAGGGGCAGTGTTCAATTTGTCCGTATTTTTTATTTATACTCTATTTAAAATTTTATTTTTAAGTTTGCTTGAAAATAGTAATAAAGAATCAATTTGCTGGTAACACACAGAATACAAAATAAATTTTATTTATTAAATTCTCACACATATCTTAGCACATAATATATTATTATTTCCAAAGTGGTTAACTTTTTCCTTATTTCAATTAGAGTAACTTTTTAAAATAACTAATATAAGCAAGAAAAAATCCGAATTTTGATGCTAAATTAACTTTAATGTTGATTACATCACAGGCAGAAGCTTTGTTTGTTCTCTACGAAAATCAATAGGACCCACAATCAATTACCGTAGAGCACCTATGTAACATAAGTTGCGCACACTCTCACAGGCAATATATTGATCGTTGACGTAGAGCCGTGATAGCTATCAGAGTCCGGGATAGATGTCCGGGCGCTCGCCTTTAATTGAAATATAATCGAGCAACCTGAGTTCGATCCCCGGTGCCGGCACAACTTGTTAATTTTTAAGATAAGTGCCGAATTATCATGTGGTCAGTGGTGAAGGAAAACATCGTGAAGAAACCTACATATTTTCGAAATAATAACAAAAAAAATAATACCCTAATAACCCTCTGTACAGAGGAAGCCTTTGCCCAGCAGTGGGATATGTATAGGCTGATACTTTTACGTCAATGGGAAATTTATTTGCACCTATATGTCTAGACTCTGGCAGCCCCACCCTATTCTGAGATGTAATATGTACATGTATAGAGGTTTTGAAAACTTAATGGGTCTGGACGTGCACAAAGCCGAACATTGGAAGCCGAAGTGTTAGTCGAACGAACGTTGGTTCAACTTGGCTCCTACTTTTTGGAACGAACAGTTACAATACTCCGACTAGCTTCAAATGCTGGGTATTGATATCTTCTCAAATCTCAGCTTTGGTTGGTTGATAGAGTACAGAGCCCAAGTAGCAACATCTACTCCGAAAAGCGAATGATCTGTCGGACATTTGTTTAGAGTAGCCGCAATATAATCCAATTATAAATGTTTCATAGTAACATTTGGACGAAATGGTAAAATGATTTATTGTTTTTCGGAGTAGATCTTCTAGTACCTTCCATCATCAAAACTAATAGTAATCATACGACACAATGATAGACTGTAGTTCCGTTCCAAGCATTGTTGACTGCAAACAAAAGACTTCTAGCTCATCATCATCATCATTTCAGCCTGTTTGTGTTCACTGCTAAACATACGCCTCCCCCACAGACTGCCACGAACCACGATCCTAAACTACCTGCATCCATGGACTTCCCGCACACTTGCACAGGTCGTCACTCCAACACTGTGATGGTTAGTACGAGGCTGCCACTCGAGAACCTTTCATCCCCAACGGTTATCAGTTCTAGGAGCTATACGGCCGGCCCATCGCCACTTTAGCTTACTAACCTTCTGAGCTACAGCCTTTGTTCTACTGTGGATGTCTTCGTTGCGAACTCTATCACTCAAAAGAAATACCGAGCATAGCCCCCTCCATAGCACGCTGAAGAAGAACAACAACAACTTCTTCTAGCGCAACAATACGAAATTAATTGTGGCACACATACATATATATGTGTTTCATCATCATCATCATCAGCTGCAAAACGTCCACTGTTGAACATAGGTCTCCCCCTTAGAACGCTACAACGAACATTTAAAGATGGGAAAAAATATTGTGGTATTAGTATTTATAGTATAGTATATTAGTATTTATAGTACTCCTACCTGGAGGACCGAGCTTTGCTCGGTTTTTTTTTGGTAAATCGTATATTTTGGAAATAAAAAAATAAAAAAGAAAGAAAGCAATGATCTGGTATAGAAAAAAAAGTAAAAGAAATAAGTATCTAAATGATCGTGACACGAACCGCAGTCTTCTGTTTCGGGGCCGCCCTATTACCAACCGAGCTATTATAACATTATTTTTTCTCATTCATCATTTTTGGGTGGACCACCCTTAGCATTTAGAGGGATAATAAATTAGATGTTGTCCGATTCTCCACCCTGGCCAATATGTACACAAAATTCCACGGAAATCGGTCGAGCCGTTTCGGAGGAGTTCAATTACAAACACCATGACACGAGAATTTTATATATTAGATATACAAGAATTGCTGTTTTAAAGGTATTAGATTTATGTTAATAAACTGAGTGATCCTTATTATTGCTGATGCCACCGCGCTTCCGCAGCGATCTTTTAAAAACATTATTGTTTATTATTATCTATCATTCATATATCTTTTAATAAAGACTGTAATTGATACTAAAGATTTTAACGTACATACCTTTTGAATAATTAAATAATTGTAATGAAGCAACAAAATAATATTTTATATAAATTCCCTAACAATGTGTCAACCCCGCTAGCAACAGTATAAAGGGCTAATTTATGTCTTACGCACAAAAAGGGTTTGGGAACGCTTAACCGATTAAAATAATCGTTGGACAAAGATAAAGAAAAAATCTTATTAACATGGGTATTAAAATGTATGATAATTACAGGGAGTAAATTGGAGGAGTAAATTTATACTTCATATTATCTTAAACATGTTACCAGTATGGAATTATTAACAGACTGAGTAGTGAAGTTATAAATACGAATATGACTTTGACCGATTTATGCGGTTATAAACTAAACACGATGAACTCGGGCCGTAGTTTTCAAGTGTCAGACTATTTTTGCCCACCTGGTCAATGCTCTCTCGGACTGAGATTTCGTGGAAACAAACGCAGCCTATCTCCTTGCTGCGGCGCTGGCCTTCCTCCGTGCTGACCATGCGGTCGCCGATCTGGTCCGTTTTGTTGCCTACCAGCACCACAGGAGTCTCCAATACGCTGTCCTGAAATTTATTTCCCGTTCAAAGTTTGCACTTTTTACTGCTACGCGTGAAGAACGTACTAGATACATAATTATTCCACTTCAATAACTTTTCCAAATTTTAAGACATCATTATACAGTTCGCGGTGATTTTCAATACTGTAAACTATGTGTATACTTGGAAAGTTTTTTCTTTTTGATTTTCTGACACATACAAACGTTTTTGCATACACGTGATTCATGATTAAATACCTATTTTGCGTTCATCTTAACGTATTTGTTTCGTAACCTTTAAAGCATTTGTACCTTTTAAAATGTACATGAGCGTACAATAGATACCTACAAGTCAGTCACATCAGAATTTGATTTGGGTTTATTAGTACTTATAGAGATAACGTGACTAATGTATTAAAACACTATCATCTTAACAACCTTCTCCGGATATAAGTTATTTAATTCAAACTTTGTTAACATTTTTGGTTTCAGGGGTCGATTCCCACGTACGGCAAGTACTTGTATGACTTACAGGTAATTATTCAGAACCTGGTCTTAATATACGTTTAGCTGAACGAAAACACAAGCTTTTGTTTTATATATGAATTTTGAATTATATAATAGGTATAGAATACAAAAAAGAGATCGGGGAGCTAACAAATTCATTACATAAAAGGTAATAAATAATCAGGTCTAATCAATTATAATCTCTATAGTGTATATAGGTAGGACTACTACTGCTATTAGTGAATTGAAACCAAGACTATTCAGCTATATTTAAAACACTACACAAAACTAATTCAGTCCTGGCAGTTAATTGAATTAGTCAATAAAATTGAAGATGCTCGGTAGCGCGGTTCCTAAGCTATTGGCTTCGACACCTGGGGTCGTGGGTCAATTCCGACGCGAGACAACAACCTGTTGTCGTTTTGTGACCCACAGATCATTGCTATAGACTTGTTTGCAGGGAGGGATGACGTCAGGAAGGCGATCGACCATAAAAATGCTAGCCAGTCCCATTAACAGCATGATATACAGCTTGTCGATCCCATCTAGGTAGAATGAGTGAGATAGAAACAGCTTTCAATTAGTTCAAGTTTTTAATGTTATGCTACTATTGGGCTTGCTTAAAAATTCAGTGATATTATTTCTAATTAATCATAATGTAAAGAAGAAAATTAACCTAAAAGAAGATCTTCTCGGTGATAAGGGCGTATATAGTTTAGATTTAAAATGCAACGCACATTATGTTTACTCTAATTTGTTGCCATAAACCAAATATAATCAAATAAGCAATCCGGAAACTCAACACTGAGAACTCCAAAATCTTCACGTAGTAGACACCATTCATTTTAAAAACCACAAGTAATTGTGCAATTTGAATCTATGACCTGTCACTGAACACAGAGTTAAAAATCTACATTAAACTTTACATACTTTTTACAACAATAAAGCCATTAGTAAATCGGTAACAAATATTTTGCATCATACTTTAAAACGTCTTTAGACATCTATAAATTTAATTGTTGTGAATTGTACATGTAATATTTTTCTATTTACACGACATGATTATGTAGTGGTGGCTACTTTTCACTTTTTTTTTTCAATTGGAAACTCGTACATCAAAAGGTATAAAGGTCATATTTAGGTTATCCCAAGAAAAAATATCGCAGAAAATTATTTCTTTGTTTACAAAACTTGTATGAAAGTAGCGTTTTATTGTTTATTATTATATCGTTTGATGTTATAGCACTCTACAAACGAAACCAAAGAGGAGCGGGAACTTGAAACCTGTTTGTACGTCGTGGTTACAGCGAGAAACAAAACAAAGGGGTCGATAATTAATTTCATGAAAGATGCTTTCACAAGCGATGGTTTCTCTTCAAAGACTACGTTATTTATTACTTCAAAGGAGAAAATATACGATCTGTAAGGCTAGATAAAAAGTAAAACTGTTTATATTAATAAACGCTGAAATCATTACATTTTGTGTAACAATCAATTAGGTATGTGAGGTATTGCTTATTGCGCAATGAGAAGTTGATTCAAATGATTGCAATAAGTTTTGTCATGGTCAAATGACATCGATGGAATTGAAAAATATTAGTAAATTATCTAAAATGAAATAGTTTGAATAAGTCTCGACGACGCCGACGTAGTCGTAACGGTAACGTAGGTCACGAAGTTGAATAAAATTTAAATAATTTTCATACACTTATGTACCACAATATTTAGTATGATATTCACTTGAGATTTATCTTTGAAAAATAACTGAGCGAAATTTTCAAGTGCTGTTAATACCTACTTAATTTCATGATATTTAAGACGCATTTTTTTGTAATTGTCAGTCATACCTTCGTGGACGATAGTCTACGCCTTCTCTTGTTGTAATTAATGAGGAACTTAAGACGGTGGCACTCGTCAAAGGAACATTTATCTGTGACTGAGTACATCAATATAAACGCCTCCGCCCATCGAATGTTGTTCTCTAAGTTTGCATACTCGCTTTCCTGTAAATCGATGAAGTTGTTAAAAAATTTGTTACTATCTATCAATTTTTAATGCATGCAGCATAAATTCTAAACTATAACCATAAAATAAGTTTCAATTAATAGGGCTCCATAAAAATATTAATTTTGTGGTCATTTTAGAGCAGAAACAGTCAATTTCTTTTATTTAAAATTGTTAACTCACATGAGGTTCTCCAGCTGAATCGAGTATTTCAAAGTAAACCATCTCGTTATCAATAACTGTTTGGAAAGCGTAAATCTTTTCTAAATTGGGATCGTATTCACCAATGAAACGCTTTGTAATGAATCGCACTACTAAAGCTGAAACGTGACATTTTTATTGTAAACTAGCTGAGGCCGAGAAACAGCGTTTTGTACAAATATCAATAAATTTATTTATGATCGATTGGGAGTTTTTGAAAACATGCTGGAAATGTAACAGAGTAAAAAAGAGTTTAAAATCTTCAATTAATTATTGCTTTTTCAGAACTTTCAAATTTCCCAACTTTATTACTTTTTTCCTTATAAAATTATTCGGACATGTTTAATCTTCGTTAAGTAATAAGAGAACAGTATCGATCGCAGTCTTTCTTGCTTTGCCTTTGACTCTATCAAGGCAAAAACGGAAACGTCGGCAACAAAAACTAAAATGAAATTAAAAAAAATCCATAAACTTCGCTCGCTCTTACTTAACCCGCAAATCATTAACGTATTCTATAAATTATATAATTAATTCTAAATTAAGAGTCTATGACCCTTAAGACATGTGTTAAGTGCTTCAAAACTGATTTTATGATTCTCTGACAAATTATACGTGTACATGTCTGATACGCCACTGTTAATATTTACGTTTAATAAAGTTACATATTTATGGTAGGATCACGTAGCAGCTTTTGCTGTTGCACTTATGGGTATCTCTCTCTGCTCTTCCGGGGAAATACCACAGCCCACAGTAGAACGGCGTGAAGTGGAAGTATTATACTTTAGCGCTTCTTCTGGTGAGAACCTATTGAATATCTTTAAATAGCAACATGAGCATGATAAAACGATATATGAAAGTAAAATGGAATATTAAGTGGTACTTCACTTAATTGAACGTGTATGGTGGAAACTTTTTTCGTTAGAACTACCTCCCTATCACTATTTGTAATATTCCAGTACTTAAATATTGCTTAGTAAATCGCAAAAAACCTTCCAAAAGAATATAATTTCATTTTCATATGTGAGTAAAATTTGTTTCGAAAATTACACGTACGCAAATGGTAAAAAAAAAAATCCTTTGAATCATAAAATATGCGTTGGATGTAGTTTGCGTATGAATTGAAAAATGAAATATCTATCTTAGAACAAGAATAAACGAGCAGGTCAGAATATATTAAAAAAAAGATCGATATGCTTTTGATGTCGAAGTCTCATAAATTAATGGATTTTCACTAAAGTAAAACGCGTTCGAACTATAAGCTCCTTTTTTACCACTGTAATAATATCTGACTGACCTATAATAATAAGATGGTGATAAATGTCTTCTGTGTTATAAACATATCTTTAGTAATGTAAAATGTATTCTCCGGCCCAATTTTAAAAGTAGAAAATTTGTTTTATCTAAGCATTCGGGCTCTAAAGGGATCCCTTGGTAATCTACTTCCGAATTAGGTGACCTCGGGTTAACAAGTTGTTGACTTTATCAGTAACTTAAATTAAATGTCAGCTAAACTTGTTACCGCCCTTTTTCCCCTTTCCATTAAAGTAAATAGAGCTCAGAACGTTTGTAATTTGAATCCTTACCAGATTTTCCAACACCAGATTGACCCAATACCATAATTTTGAAGGGCTTTTGCTTGGGGTACATTACCAGTTTGGCAAGGGAGGATTTTGGTGACGGTGTATTAGTCATAGTCACCAAAGTCGCCATTTCGAATGTTGATTATTTTTACGTTTTTGTCACAAAAACACCTTTTAGTCATCTGAAATTAAAATATATATTTACGATACCTGTGTTGAAATGTGATTTTGCTATAATCATAAAAGTTGTTTATTCAATGTTGAAGTGGATACGTCATTTGGTGGATCGTGTGTTAGTAATGTTTCAAGAAAATCGGATGAAAGTTCGACGGAGACCGAAAACCACGGAATAAGCTAAGTGAATTTCGTCATCTTGTTTCCCATAACTAACGGCAGCTGTTGGGAACTTAAGGAATCAATACAATTTCGAACGATCTAGAACTAAAGGCAGTTTTAATGTTCGTATGTACCCGCCATATTGACATTCTAATAGAAAAGAATTAGAATTTGTTTCTTTGTTTGTTAGTTTGTTTTGAATAGGCTTAGAAACCGCCTAATCAAATTCCATGAAAATTTAGAGTAAAATAAGTTTTCAAAAGATCACATGATAAATGATTATAATTTTTTTCTGAATACATTTTTATGTTATAAGATCCACGGGGACGGCATCGCGGGCCAAGTTATTGCTACAATTGCTGATAGTGCTTTTTAAAGTATTTATTGTTAATAATATACTATAATAATATATAATAAAATAACTGAGCTCAACGCCCTGGACCGAAAAGTCCGCACAACTATGACGTCCCACAGAATGCATCATCCGAGATCGTCAGTGATGAGGCTGTACCTTCCGCGGAAGCATGGCGGGAGGGGCTTTTTAAGCGCCCTCACCATGCACAATCGCGAGGTGTGCAGCCTCCGTAACTACTTTCTGGCGAGATCGGATGAGTCAATCTATACGGACGTCATTAGTTGTGATAAAGGACTTACCCCTCTATCCTTAGCCAACGAGCAATGGCAGGACCCGGGAGTACTGAGCGTTTCCGACCGAGAGGCTGTATGGAAGGAGAAAGAGCTCCACGGGAGGTTCTACAAGGCTCTACACGAGCCTTTCGTAGATACTGTTGCCTCCCTGAACTGGCTACGTTTCGGTGACCTCTTTGGGGAAACCGAAGGTTTTGTCTGTGCGATACAGGATCAGGTTATTAAGACGAACAACTATAGGAGATACATCCTAAAGGATGGCACCGTCGACATCTGTCGAGCTTGTCGCCATCCCGGGGAGTCGCTTCGGCATGTTATCTCCGGTTGTTCCATGCTTTCTAACTCTGAGTATCTGCATAGACACAACCTAGTAGCCAGAATCCTACACCAGGAGCTCGCTCTGAAATACGGCCTCGTGGAACGGAAACTGCCGTATTATAAGTACTCTCCGGAGGCCGTGCTCGAAAATGACCGCGCCAGGCTCTATTGGGACCGGTCCATCATCACAGACAGGACAATTGTCGCGAACAAACCTGATATCGTGTTGATGGACCGGGCACAGTCGCGGGTATTTTTGGTCGACATTACCATTCCATATGACGAGAACCTCGTGAAAGCCGAAACAGATAAGAAGACGAAGTATCTGGACCTGGCTCACGAGGTGACCGACATGTGGGGTGGTGTGCCGACCGAAATTATCCCGATAGTCGTGTCTGCGAATGGGTTGATCCCAGTCAGCCTCTCTAAACATCTGAGGCGACTGGGACTCCGGGACGGATCGCTCCAGGCTCAAATGCAGAAGGCGGTGCTCCTCGATACCGCCCGCATCGTCCGCCGGTTTCTCTCCCTTTCGCCCTAACCCTCGGCCGTTTGGTCTCCCCTGCCGAGGGCTTCCGTCTGGTTGGGTCCTATTTATATATGTATTATATAAAATATTTATTTATATATGTATATATATATATATATATATATATATATATATATATATATATTTTTTTTTTTTATCCATAATATTTATTTTATATATGCAATATATATCTATATCTTTATTTTTATTTATTATTTATAAACCCAACCAGACGAGAAAACAAATGAATATCCCCCACATATATAAATAATAACTGAAGTTTTCTACCCAAATTATTCATTATGTTATCATAGTTTAACAGCTCTTTCCATTGAAATCCAAACCAATTTTACATCAAATTTAGCGAATCGTTTATTAGCTATCGATCGTCTAGTTCGTGGAGCTCAGTAATTTGATAGGATAATTACATTTGTCGAAGAGGTAAACTCAGATTGATAATAAGAGATTTAATCTAATGGGGATTATCAATATGGAAATGTATGATCAAGGTAATCTTCGCCCACCTCCTTAACATTTTGAATTATGTAATTGTTTATGTGCGTTTATACCGACGACAAAAAGTCAGTGGAGCAGAAAGTATTACTTCATTTAAATGAACATAGTTCATAAAAAATGAATGATAATAATATTATTATTAAATATTTAATTATTAATAATAATAATTTATTTTTATTTATAAACAGAACCAAACGAGAAATCAAATAAACATCTCCAAATTAATAATAATGTTTTTTACAAGTAGTTTTGAATCTATGACAAGCCAAAAACCAACTGTAAAAAGTTGGTTTTTGGCTTAATATCGTCAGCGACTAGACCAAAGAAGTTTTACTAATAATCAGTGAATATGAACATTATTCATTAACAACTAATTACAAACCCAAAGGTTGTATGTGTTATATTTTAACTAACATTTATTAAAACTGTAAAAAAAAGGACTATGATGCGCATCAAGGAAAATCTTCCTTGTTGATACAAGGTGTATAAACAAACAATATATCACTTGAATAAATTACTTAAATCACACAAAATCGTAGATTTTAATCGTTATAATTATGTAATTCACATAATACCGCTTTTTCTAATAACATCATGAATTTTCGGCCATAAACAAAAAATAATTGCATGACAACGACCGATCCCCACCATAACAATAACCTAATGTATGTTTTAATAGCCGTCGGCTGTAATCGAATAGTAACAGTTAAATTAATAGTTGTTTATTTAATATTTATACTGAAGGAATAGTCAAAATGTTTATAAGTATTCATCGTTTTTTCCTAAATATCTCTGTTAGCTTAAGCCCTTTTTACTTGACTGCAAAGCATATGGTAAGTCAGAACTTTTAGTTATGAATAAAATTTTATTTGTAAACAAAACTAAAAGTAAGCGCGCCGAAACTAATCTTCCAGATACTATCTCGTAAATTGTTATAATTTTTTTTATAGACACTGATAAATTTATGTAAAACTTACAAAGGCTGACAAATGTCAGAATTATTGAATTCGGTCAACATTTCAATTATTATAATCGTGAATAATACAGTTACAATTAAATATATTTTTTTATATAATAATATAATTATATTATATCTGTTTTATATGAATAACTAACTTTACATCAATAGGTAAAGTTTTTGGTGATTCAATAATAACAGTGATATTATTATTATAAGGTATGGTTCGAAAAGCTTTTTTAATTATTCAAATTAAAAGTTTTAGTATTAAAAATTCCACTGGAATTATTCATTGATCTAACTTATGGAATGATACAAACAATTTATTTTTATACTTACACTGCTATTTGAGCTTTTGCTCGGAAATTCTCAACAAATATCACATTGTAAATTCTGCGTAACGTTTTTTTAACACGAAAACTTTGTTTCACGTTCATTCACAAGTAACATAGTTTAGGTGAATGTTTACTTTAATTAAAACTGAATCGGGAGGATTATCAAAATAAATAAAAAGCAACTCTACGGCAAAATTCGTCTGATACATCCGCGGAGCCGCGCGATCCCAGCGCGAATGTTAGACCGGGCGTAGCGTAGCGGCTGGCAGCCAGTCGCATCGGTGATGACATTCTAAACGAATTACCATGATCCCGTTTCCTTACTTCCCTAGTGCCGGATTTAATTGGTACTGGATAACTCACTCAAATTGAGTTGGGTTTTCAAAAGCGCCCTCCAAACAGATCTTCGTATAACATTCACTTACTTTCTATTCTAGGTTAGTCTACGGTTCAATTGCCTATACGTCTAAGACTACTTACTTGTGTAGTATGTTAGATATTTGAGTTAGCCTTTGTGGTATGAAAAATGTCTGAATATTATGTTGATGGAAAAGTACAAAGATAGTTATATACAATAGATGTTTTGAGTCCTCACACTATTTTACTCGTGAAATTTTGATTTATTGCACAATAGTTGCAATCGGCTTGAGGATGAATTTGTTCTAGTTTTTTTAAGATTTATACTCGAGTAAGTAACCTGCTCCAAATTCAAGAGATCACGGATGGATCGTCATTGTGGCCTGCACCTACTACGGCCGGTTGGACCTATCTACAGTGAAATGAGTATTTCATAAATTATAAATTTTCCTTATTGTTTCAGTACAAAAAAAATATGTTCCATTCAGTCTGTTGAAGTCTGTTGATGCCTAATTTCACTTTGTATTTTTTTCTAAAATTTTATACTTTGTACATATTTCACATATAATACATAATGTACACAATTGTTTTGCGTCGTGTAATAAATGGTAACAAGGTCCGTAAGCCTTTTGTCATTAACCATCCCTACGCAGGTGTTATGATCGACGAGCGCGGTGTGTTATGAAACACTAAATATACTTCTATCAGAGTATAATATGAGTGTTATCAGGTGTTTACTTCCCACGTTTCGTTCAATTTTGATAATATTCAGTTCTGAACTTGTCGACCATACTGTACGTTGGACCGTAATTTAATTGTTAACATTACAAAAGTCTCTAATAAAGTTACGTACTTACCTTCTTAGGTTTTGACATATAAAATTGACATTGATGACTCCGTTGACGAGATGACTCCGTGGCGCAGTTGCCAAGGTATTGGCTTCGGCGTCGGGGGTCGTGGGTCCCACACGAGAGAACTATTTGTGTGACCCACAGATAGTTGTTTCGCATCTGGGTGTTTGTCCGAGTGAAATTTATGTTTGTAAAACGTCCTTACAGCACAGGATATTGTTATTCTAAAGGAAGGGCACTTTTAAAAAAAAAATTGTTAACTTTGTTTATTCTACCTAACTT